GGAGCCCACGTGGGTCACTGCCATGTCTGAGGAAGGAGACATGCTCTGTGTGCCTGTGGTCTCTCTAGAGGTGGCCTGGAATGCAGGAGAGGCACTGCTCAGAGATGGAGGTGAGGGGCTCTCGCCTCCTGAGCCCGTGGCCTCCTCATCTGTGGTCTTCAGCAGGCCCGGGGTGAGGAGGGAGGAAGTCAGGGGCAGAGAAGTGGAGGGAACGGCCTCGGGTGACATGGAGGAAGCAGGAGCAGGTGAGGACTTGGGAGGGAAGGAGGGCAGCAGGGAGGAGACAGAGCTGGTGTCCTCCACAGAGGGTCGAGTGGCCCCTGACACCTTCCGGGGCTTCATGCTCGTGAGGGTGGCCCCGTCTGAGTGAGGCCATCCCTGGCTCCCACCCGAGAGTGTTGCCTCCCAGGCAGAAGTGGTCGCCATGTCCAAGGTCACGGCAGTCTGTGAAGTGGACCCGGCCAGACCTGTTGGGCTGGTGATGGTCGCTTCCCCTGAGCCCTGGGTGATGGCAGAAGTCTGGAGCCTGGTGACGGTTTCCTCGGAGACGCCAGGTTTTGTGGACCCTGTGGCCCCAGCAGGCCGTGGGGTGGACGTGGGGCTGGAAAAGATGCCTGCTGTTCCGGGGACCTGAGTATGAGTGCCAGTGGGCCCTTGAGCAGGGACAGTGCTTGTCCCCGAGCCTGAGCTGGTGTCCTCTGGGAAGCTGGACTCGCTGAGCCCAGGGCTGACGGGGGACGCCAGCTGTGTGTGAGCGCTCCCGGTGCTGGGGAAGGCAGCGGGTGGCGTGGGAACTCGCTCCGGCCACACGGGGGAGGAGACGACCACTGGGGACATGGTTTCCATGGCCTGCAAAGTAGCTGGTAGAGAGGTGGGGTGTCCGAGTGGAGAAGTGCCGGTACCCAAGTGGGTCACTGCCCTGTCTGAGGAAGGAGGCATGCTCCGTGTGCCTGTGGTCTCTCCAATGGTGGCCAGGAATGCAGGCGAGGCACTGCTCAGAGACGGAGGTGAGCTGGTCTGGGCTCCTGAGCCCGTGGCCTCCATATCTGTGGTCTTGAGCAGGCCCGGGGTGAGGAGGGAAGAAGTCAGGGGCAGGGAAGTGGAGGTAACAGTCTCGGGAGACATGGAGGAAGCACGAGAAGCCGAGGACATGGGAGGGGAAGAGGAAGTCGGAGGGGAAGAGGGCAGCAGAAAGGAGACAGAGCTGGTCTCCTCCACAGAGGGACGTGTGGCCCCTGACACCGTCTCAGGCACCTTGCTGGTGAGGGTGGCCGGCTCTGAGTGAGGCCATCCATGGCTCCAAGCCGAGGTCCTTGCCTCCCATGCGGAGCTGGTCTCCTTGGCCAAGGTGGGGGTAGCCTGTGAATTGGACCCAGAGGGACCTGTTGGGCTGGAGAAGGTCGCTTCCGCTGAGCCAGGCAGGGTGGTGGACATCAGGAGCCCGTGGTTGGTTTCAGCTGAAAGGTCGGGTGTTGTGGACAGTTTCGATCCAGCAGGCTGTGGGGTGGCTGTGGGGCTGGAGGAGCTGCCTTCTGTTCCGGGAACCTGCGTGGCAGTGTCGGTGGGCCCTTGTGCAGGGACAGTGCTTGTCCCAAAGCCCGAGCTGATGGCCTCTGTGGTGCTGGACTCGCTTAGCCCAGGGCTGATTGTGGACGCCGGCTGTGTGTGAGCTCTCCCGGTGCTGGGGAAGGCGGCGGTTGGTGTGGAAACTCGCTCCTGCCCCACGGTCGAGGAGGTGCTCATTACGGATGTGGTGTCCGTGGCCTGCAATGTGGTCGGGTGTTTGAGTCCGGAAGTGGCGGTGCCCACGTGAGTCACGGCCATATCTGAGGAAGGAGGCATGGTCTCTGTGTCTGTGGTCTCCCTAGCGGTGGACAGGAATGGAGGCGAGGCACTGCTCAGAGAAGGAGGTGAGGTTCTCTGGGCTCCTGAGCCTGTGGCCGCCATGTCTGTGGTCTTCCGCAGGCCCGGGGTGAGGAGGGAAGAAGTCAGGGGCAGAGAAGTGGAGGAAACAGCTTCGGGTGCCTTGGAGGAAGCAGGAGCAGGTGAGGACATGGGAGGAGAAGAGGGCAGCAGGGAGGAGACAGAGCTGGATTCCTGCACAGAGGGACGTGTGGCCCCTGACACCTTCCCGGGCACCTTGCTCGTGACGGTGGCCCCCTCTGAGTGAGGCCATCCCTGGCTATCAGTGGAGGGCCTTGTCCACCAGGTGGAGGTGGTCGCCGTGGCCAAGGTCGGGGGAGCCTGTGAAGTGGACCCCTTTGGAGCTGTTGGGCTGGTGATGGTCGCTTCCACTGAGCCAGACGTGGTGGCGGAGGTCTGGATCCCGGGGATGGTTTCCAAGTAGACGTTGGGTTTTGTGGTCCCTGTGGACAGAGCAGGCTGTGGGGTGGACGTGGCGCTGGAGGAGATGCCTTGTGTCCCAGAGACCTGAGTGGGAGTGCCGGTGGGCCCTTGAGCAGGGACAGTGCTTGTCCCCGAGCCGGAGCTGGTGTCCTCCAGGGTGCTGGACTCTCTGAGCCCAGGGCTGATGGTGGACGCCGGCTGTGTGTGAGCGCTCCCGGTGCTGGGGAAGGCAGCGGTTGGTGTGGGAACTCGCTCCTGCCCCACAGTGTAGGACACACCAATTGCGGAAGTGATTTCTGTGTCCTGCAATGTGGTCGGTTGTCTGAGTCCGGAAGTGGCAGTGCCCGAGAGGGTCAATACCATATCTGAGGAAGGAGGCATGCTCCGTGTGCCTGTGGTCTCCCTAGTGGTGGCCAGCAATGCAGGCGAGGCACTGCTCAGAGACGGAGGTGAGCTGGTCTGGGCTCCTGAGCCCGTGGCCTCCATATCTGTGGTCTTGAGCAGGCCCGGGGTGAGGAGGGAAGAAGTCAGGGGCAGGGAAGTGGAGGGAACAGCCTCGGGTGACATGGAGGAAACAAGAGCAGGCGAGGACGTGGGAGGGGAAGAGAGCAGCAGGGAGGAGACAGAGCTGGATTCCTGCACAGAGGGACGTGTGGCCCCTGACACTTTCCCGGGCCCCTTGCTGGTGAAGGTGGCCTCCTCTGAGTGAGACCATCTTTGGCTCTCACCTGAGGGGCTTGCCTCCCAGGTGGAGGTGGTTGCCATGGCCAAGGTCGGGGTAGCCTGTGAAGTGGACCTGGTGAGACCTGTTGGGCTGTTGATGGTCGCTTCTGCTGAGCCCTGGGGGATGACAGAGGTCTGGAGCCCGGTGATGGTTTCCTTGGAGACGTCGTGTTTTCTGGTCCCCGTGGCCCCAGCAGGCTGTGGGGTGGACGTGGCACTGGAGGAGATGCCTTGAGTCCAGGGGACCTGAGTATCAGTGTTGGTGGGTCCTTCAGCAGGGACAGTGCTTGTCGTGGACCCTGAGCTGGTGTCCTCCGGGGTGCTGGACTCGCTGAGCCCAGGGCTGACGGCGGACGCCGGCTGTGTGTGAGCGCTCCTGGTGCTGGGGAAGGCAGCGGCTTTTGTGGAAACAGGCTCTGGCCCCACGGGGGAGGAGGCGCCCATTGCAGACGTGGGTTCTGTGGCCTGCAATGTGGTCGGGTGTCCAAGTCTGGAAGTGGCAGTGCCCACATGGGTTGCCGACATTGGTGAGGAAGGAGGCATGCTCTGTGTGCCTGTGGTCTCTCTAGTGGTGGCCAGGAATGGAAGCAAGGAACTGCTCAGAGACGCAGGTGAGGGGCTCTCGCCTCCTGAGCCCGTGGCCTCCTCATCTGTGGTCTTCAGCAGGCCCGGGGTGAGGAGGGAGGAAGTCAGGGGCAGAGAAGTGGAGGGAACAGCCTCGGGTGACATGGAGGAAGCAGGAGCAGGCGAGGACCTGGGAGGGAAGGAGGGCAGCAGGGAGGAGACAGAGCTGGTTTCCTGCACAGAGGGACGTGTGGCCCCTGACACCTTCCCGGGCTTCATGCTCGTGAGGGTGGCCCCGTCTGAGTGAGGCCATCCCTGGCTCCCATCCGAGAGTGTTGCCTCCCAGGCAGAAGTGGTCGCCGTGTCCAAGGTCACGGTAGTCTGTGAAGTGGACCCGGCCAGACCTGTTGGGCTGGCGATGGTCGCTTCCCCTGAGCCCTGGGTGATGGCAGAAGTCTGGAGCCTGGTGACGGTTTCCACGGAGACGCCAGGTTTTGTGGACCCTGTGGCCCCAGCAGGCCGTGGGGTGGACGTGGGGCTGGAGGAGATGCCTGCTGTTCTGGGGACCTGAGTACGAGTGTCGGTGGGCCCTTGAGCAGGGACAGTGCTTGTCCCCGAGCCTGAGCTGGTGTCCTCTGGGGTGCTGGACTCGCTGAGCCCAGGGCTGACGGGGGATGCCGGGTGTGTGTGAGCGCTCCCAGTGCTGGGGAAGGCAGCGGTTGGTGTGGAGACTCGCTCTGGCTTCACGGGGGAGGAGGCGCCCACTGGGGACGTGATTTCCATGGCCTGCAAGGTAGCCGGCAGAGAGATCTGGTGTCCAAGTCTAGAAGTGGCAGTGTTCACGAGGGTCACCACCGTGTCTGAGGAAGGAGGCATGCTCCGTGTGCCTGTGGTCTCTCTAGTGGTGGCCAGGAATGGAGGCGAGGCACTGCTCAGAGACAGAGGTGAGGTTCTCTGGGCTCCTGAGCCCGTGGGTGCAACATCTGTGGTCTTCAGCAGGCCCGGGGTGAGGAGGGAAGAAATCAGGGGCAGAGAAGTGGAGGGAACAGCCTCGAGTGACATGGAGGAAGCAGGAGCAGGTGAGGACATGGTAGGGGTAGAGGAAGTCAGTGGGGCAGAGGGCAGCAGGGAGGAGACAGAGCTGGTGTCCTCCACAGAGGGACGTGTGGCCCCTGACACCTTTCCCAGCCCCCAGCTCGTGAAGGTGGCCCCCTCTGAGTGAGGCCATCTCTGGCTCCCATGTGAGTGGCTTTCCTCCAGGGTGGAGGTGGTGGCTGTGGCCAAGGTTGGGGTAGTCTGTGAAGGTGACCCGGAGGGACTTTTTGGACTGTAGTAGGTCGCTTCTGCTGTGCCCTGGGTGATGACAGAGGTCCGGAGCCTGTTGACAGTATCCTCAGAGATGTCAGGTTTTGTGGCCCCTGTGGCCCCAGCAGGCTGTGGGGTGGACGTGGCG